TCTTTTTTTTTTTAATTTATTTATTTTAAATTTATGTATTTATTATGTACACAGAAGAGGGTGCCAGATCTCATTGCAGATGGTTGTGAGCCACCATGTGGGTGCTGGGAATTGAACTCAGGACCTCTGGAAGAGCAGTCAGTGCTCTTAACCTCTGAGCCATCTCTCCAGCCCGTATAATGCTTTCTTTGAGTCACTTTGTATTGAGCTTCTGCTACTTTTGAGCAAAAGAATCCCATTGAAAATAGTTGACACTTGGGTAGTACTTCCCACTGACAGGCATTTCCGCAGAGATCTGCTCTTTTAAACAAGTCAAGCTGGCCCAAAGACAGGAAGCATTAGCCACAGTTCAAAAGAGGTGAAAAAACAATAACCTTGGCTCAGTCTGAGCCTTTCCTTTTCCTTACAGAAAATCAGGGCCCAGTCCACACACTCCCGGTGGGAACACGACATGTTGAAGCATTTTTCAAAAACATTTTATTTGGAGAAAGGGTCTCACTAGGTAGCCCTGGCTTGTCTAGAGTTCAATATGTAGATCAGACTGGTCTTGAACGCACAGAGACCTGCCTACCTCTGCTTCCCCAGTGTTAAGACTAAAGGTGTCCACCACACGTGGCCTTAGAAGATAATTTAACAGAATCAGCTCATTATAAATGTGCAGAGCCTTCAACCCAGCATTTCTACTTCCACAAACAGTTCCTGCCCACACACTTATACAAGGAGGAGCATGTGGCACGGCCTGCAAGAAAAAGTAGAAACCGTCTCAAACGTCCAACGTTAAAAAACAAAAACTAATCTGATTACAGTGTACACTGCTGGGGAGTGCTTCACAGCCAATAAAAGGACACGGATGCATATATACTCTCTGGAAGTTCTCCAGGACACAGAGATCTGCAAAAGAGGCAGTATACAGAACACTGAGAACACGATGGACCTGAGTTTGAATACCCAGCACTCACATAAAAATGTCAGGCATGGCCGTGCACGCATGTGAGTTCAGCACTGGGAAGGTGGGTGTGTACACAGGCTATCCTGGGAGCTTTATAGTCAGTCAACAAGCTTCGGTTCCGTATGAGACCCTGTTTGGGGGCCAGAGGGATGACTCAGTAATTAAGAGCTCTCCCAGAGGACCCGAGTTCGGTTCCCAGCATCCATGTGAGGTGGATCCAATGCCTCTTGCTTCTGAGGCATTTAAAACTCTCTCTCTCTCTCTCTCTCTCTCCCTCTCTCTCTCTCTCTCTCTCTCTCTCTCCGTCTCTCTCTCTCTCCGTCTCTCTCTCTCTCTCTCTCTCTCTCTCTCTCTCTCTCACACACACACACACACACACACACACACACACACACACAAATTAAATAAATCTTTGTTAAATAATGTACTGTGCACATACAAGTGTCAGTATCCAATGCACTGACAGAGAATGGAAAAGAACTAGCCACAGTGGCCACCTCTGGAGAGACAATGAGCATGTGTGACTTTTGTGTTTTGTATGTTTCTGAACTGCTGCAATGCACTAAGAATTTGTGTGTTATCTGGCCAATACATCCACAGACAAGAACTAGGGGACAAGTAGAACATCCTACCCACGCTCCTCACAATGCAGAAGAGTAACTCAAACTTCCTGATTTCTACCCAGGCTGCCTTTCTGTCCTCTCAATACCAGCTGCTAATTCCTTTGTATAATTACTGCAGACTGCCGAGAACAATGGAGGCTAGGCTCGCCTCAAACTCACAACAATCTTCCCACCTCAGCCTCTAGAGTGCCGGAATTAATGGTGTGCACCACTAAGACTGACTTGTCTCCCTGTATCTTGAAGCGGGCACTGTTCTAAGCAGGTCACCACAATACTAAGGGGAGACTACGTGTCTATTCTACAGATCAGAAGTCTGAGGCTACAGGTAGGGGTATGTGTGTGTGTGTGTGTGTGTGTGTGTGTGTGTGTGTGCATGTATACATGCATTTGAGCTAGCAACCTTTAGTCTAATCCTCTATCTAGCTGAAGAGAGAGCTCTGTGCCCTCTGATCCTGGTCCTTCACACCCTTCTAGAAGCCCCTCAGAAAACCAGGCTGGCCTGTGAGAACTGACCTGGTACTCTTCTTCGGTAAGGCCCTCAGCCAGGGCATGTTGGCGCAGCTGGTCAGGGTCCTGGGCACGGAAGAGACGGCTAAGCAGGGCATAGATGTAGGGGGCTTCAGGGGAGGTCTGGAGCAGCACAGCCAGGCCTCCATACCAAGCAGCCCTAGACAGGTGATGGGCATAGAGGCGCTCTGTGGGGGACAGCAGGCGGAAGGCCTCACGGCAGTCCAGGCTAGACACACCGATGTCATTGGGCAGGATGTACTGGGTATCTGCCATGGGCCCTGCAAGGACACATCACAGTCATTTCAGAGAACACACCATCTTCACATCGTCTCTGAACTCTCATGAGCTAACTTCTTCCACCCAAAAGCCCAGGAGGGGGTGATCCAGTAGCATTCATTCACCTGATATGCTGAAATCCAAAGATGCAAATACTTAGTTTGGGCCTGTGGCCTCTTGGACTTAAAGTCTGACTCCAACTACCTCATATTATAGACAGGGAAACTGAGGCTCAAAGATGCCAAGACTTTTTTTTCTAAACATACAAAGGAGGAATCAGCAGAATAAACCCTCACTGCTAGACTCCCAGGCCAGGCCACTCCCATCACCTCCACCTTCTCAGACTTCCTAGCCTCTTGGTTCAGAACTCAACACCTCCAGCCCATCCCTGCTGACAAAGGCAGGTGTCGGCTTCCTATCCACCCCCTTGCTCCAGTCTGCTCCATCAGAGAGTTCTAAAATCCAAGCCAGCCGCTTCACTTTCCCTGTAAAACTGAGTATGAAGATGTCACCAAGCTCAACAGCTGGGTATGTAAATTAGAAGAGGCCACTCCCAGGGCAGGGATGTAACTCAGTTGGTAGAGTGTTTGCCTAGCACTAACCAGGCCCTGGGTTGGAGTCCAAGGCCAGTCTGGGGTACATGAAACCCTGTCAAAAACAAGCAAATCGAAAAAGTATTCATGTTCTTGTATGCTTTTCCTTCCCAGCATGTGCCCCAGTCTCCTCCCTTCTCTTCAGCCCTCCATTATCCTTCTTTCTTCTGTTGCTACGCCTGGGAAGCCGTACAAGGTCACAACCCATTTTCCAGATAGAGACACTGACATTTGGAAAACAAGCAACTTATCCAAAGCTTTGCAGCCCAGATGGGACCCGGGGAATTCCCAACACACCACATTCTCTACGCCCCGCCCCTGACTCTGTGCTCCCCAATCGCGCGCCCCGCCCCAACTACCCAGTCGCCGGGGCTCGGAAAAGGGTGTTAACTCTTTACTGCCTGCAAATCCTCCTTGGCCCGAAAACAGGGAGCGATTTGGAAGAGGCACTGAAGGGTGGACAGAAAGAGGACGATCTTGCGCGCACAGCCTGGCCACGCTCCGATCCCCTGAAGATGACACGCCGTGACCCCGAAACCAGGGCCCGGCACCTCACCTGCTGCAGCTGCTCCGTTCGCAAACTCACTTCCTGCTTCCGGCTCCCCCCCCATTCATTGGGACTTCACAAGCCCCGCCCCCGCCGACCAATTGTCAGGCCCCTGGGATCAGATGGGCGGCGGTTCCAGCCAGTATACGAGCTGAGGACAGCACCTCCCTCATCAACTCACCGCCCCCGGGCGCTGTGGGTGGTGCTTGCTTAGAAGGGCCCTGAAGCCTTGGCCTTTTGTCCGCTGGCCACGTTCCAGCCGCGGAGTGGCGAGGGGGGAAGGGTGGGGGGAGTGGTTTGGGTATCGGTAACCCACGTAGCTGCTGCCTGGTGCAGACAGAGGGGACACTTTGTGTCCCCAAACACAAGGATCCCTGTACATCAGGAGCCCCCACACACATGTAGCTGGGACCCTGCCCTCTTCGGGGTTTAGTGTCCCTCCGATCTGGGTTTGGCGGTTAGCAACAAGCATGCAGACAGAAGAATGTAGCAATGTGGATCCCCTTCCTCTCTGGATTTGGGGTTTGGAGATGCTATTTGGAGACTTCAAAGCTCTTGCAAAGAGTGGAGGCTACATGCGAAGAAGCTCCGGGCAGAGCAGAAGTAGTTCCACCCACCCAGGGGTGCAGAAAAATGGTACAGGCGCTTCACTGGCTGGCCATGGGCCTGGAAGCAACTCTTAAACATTTGAAGCCCCCGTTTCCTCAACACACGCGAAGACGAGGGCAGCAAGGAGCTGCTGTTTTCTTCGTGCAGCCGTTTGCCGAACAGCATAGAAAAGCAGCCTCCGATTACTTAAGGGCAAGCATGCTGTCGCTTATAGTAGTCAGGGTGGCGTCTGTCCGAGTGACCCCCCAGTGCCTGCAAGTGCCTGCAATGACTGCAAAGAGCTTGAGTTAGACTGGAAGCTGATGAGACCTCTCACCTACCGGTTATGTGACTTTAGGTGGGTCATTTCTCTGACTCTTGAGCTCTGTCAGCTTTACTTAAGAACTAGTAAGTGAATCTGCTCCAAGGAATGGGCGACTATCAAGGGGTAGTGCTGCCCCCTAGGGTTGTGTAGGAGGTAGTGTCTTTGAACTAAAATCCAACACTCTCCTTGCCATGTCTGTGTATAGGGCCCAATGTAACCAATGCCCAACACAGGCACCAGTTTCTCATCCAAAATGGTACCCAAGACTGGCTTGTCCTCCCAATGATAGTAGCTGCTGGCTTGTCATTGTAAGAGGGAATTCTGTAAAAATGCTTATGTCCTGAGGAAACTCTCTTTCTTTCCTTTTGCCTTTTTTCATTGTTTTAGAATAGGTATAAAGTTGACTGAGTCAGATGACGTTGAAGTGTAGCTATACCAGGTAGGAGAGGTAGAGCTGTCCATAGGCACCAAGGGGTAGCTGAGGCAAGTGAAGGATCCCAGTACCCAAGACCCCAGCCAAGCTGCATGATGCCATTTTATAATCTCAATTAATAGGAGTACTTATTAAATGAAGTCCTTTACCAGCAGCTTGCCATATAGAATCTCATTTAATTCTTGCAAAACCCCTGAGATAGCATATCACTGTTGTACCAACTACACAGGTTGGAAAACTTTGACTAAGAGGATCTTTGATTTCCTAAGACCTTCCACTACACTGTTCCCTCTTCCTGCCCCAACACTCACTCACTCTCTCTCTCTCTCTCTCTCTCTCTCTCTCTCTCTCTCTCTCTCTCTCTCTCCTCTCTGACCATAGCACATTCTATTAACGGGTCATGGCTTTTCTGTATGTTTACATCCACCTGGTGAACAAAGTACTTTTTGTTTTTGTTTGTTTGAGACAAGTCCTGCCACATAGCCCAGGCTGGCATTGAACACACAATCCTCCTTCCTTAGCCTTCCAAATGCTGGAATTACAAGCACATGCCACCAGGTCTGGTCTTACTGCCATTCCATTTAACAATTGTGGCATCTGAAGCCCAAGAGCTGACTCCCACCACCAGCCCGAGTTCTTCCCAGAGCCCAGGCAAGTCCTTTTTGTCCCTCCTCCCAAAGTCTGAGATTCAACACCAGAAATGAGATCAGAATATGTTCCCCTGTCTGGTCCCCAACAGGGCCATTAGCAAGAACTGAGTAGAGGTTCATTTCTAGTGTTTTGAGGGGAGGGCTGAAATGTTCCTCATGCATTCTGGCATCCCCTCCTGCCGTGCGTCCCACTGTAGCTATGTGACGCTCAGTCTTCTCTGTGATGGCTGCCTTCTGTCCTCCCAACAGCCCAAGTCTGGTCTTTCTGGCCTCAGCCAGCTGTGTGGCCTTGTACAGTTTCTTGTGGAATCTGCACCTCCCTAAACTCTGGCTTCTGTCTTGTACTGAGGACAAGGTCACACCTACACTCAGAGCCACCTCCTTTGATTTCTCTAGAGTCTATCTACCTGTTTTCCTGGTTCACTTCCCTTTGAAAGGTCAGGGGAAACCCCAGCTCAGCCCTTGGCTCACAGGGAGACCTGACTCACAGACAGGAGGGACAGGGAGGGGTTCAGCACTGACTTCCACAGTCACCAAGGCCCACCAGGTCCCAGGCCACAGCCCTGATCCAATCGCTCTTTTACTGCTGACCTGCACATACTGGTTGGTAGGCATTTTCCCTACCCTACTATGCTGCTGCCCTCACCCAGGCTGCCCTCCAAACTCCATCCTGCCTCTGCCGTCCAAAGTTCTCAGGACAACCCCAGCATGTACAGGTGGCCAGCAGGATGTACTGGGGCCCTGCGTGGGGCTGGGCACTGAGCAGGCAGATCTCCATCTATCTCTTCTTCAGCTTCTCCACGAAACAGACACTAAACTGCCTTGCCTCAGTCCTGCCCAGCCTTAGTATGATCTGAGAGGGGCAGTTGTGGCTTCCAATAACCGCCTGCAACTAGATTGTAACTTTCTCTCTCTACAAACACAGGTGGGGACACCTCTCTTCCTGGATCACTGTGAGTAGATAACAAAATCCCCGGCCAAGAAGCAAAGCCCTGGTACCTGGTGAACGCTCAGTGAACATAGCTGTAATTACTGTTAGGATGGGGGGCGGACACACAGTGAATATTCAGCGATGGTAGCCCTTGGGTCAGAGCCAGTGCTGTGGAGCTGACTCCTGGTTGTCCACAAATGAGGATCTGAATTCTCCACCAAGCATGGCCACACCCTATGCTCCAGGATCCCCTTAATCTGTTTCTCCACCCCTGCTTCCTTACCCTGAGCCTGTGCCAAGAGGGTACTTTGTGGGCCTGGAAGATTCCAAGTCAGCACGGAGGCCGAGCTCCTGTGCCACCTCCTTCATGAAACCTCTTACTTTCCCAAATCCAGCAAGTGCTGTTCTCTAGCCCTAGAATTCTCTGATCCTAATACCCATGAAGCTGTCTACCCTCCACTAGGTTGTGAACTCCACCAGGTGGAGAACCTGATTGTCCATGTGTCCCCCACTTGGCACTATCCTGCCTGCAAATGCTGACCTCAGACTGCCTACTCACTCATTACTCACTGAGGACTGGAGGTATTGCATGCATGTGGGACATGTGGATCTGTGAGGGCAGCTGAGCAGCAAGGTTTACAGAGTAACCCAGGGCAGCAGCAGGAGAAAGGAATAGCTGTTACTGGATTGGCAGGTTCAGGGCACAACCAGACTAAGCTGGAAGTCAGGGGCCATGGCCCCTTCACTCCCCCAGGGGCACAGTGTAGGCGGCATGACGTAGGATACTCCAGGGAGGGCAGAGGCATGGGGTGCCTTCCATCAGCCTGGGGCAGAGCTGGTGCTAAAGTCCCCATCAGTATGACTGGGATGGAGATCTTAGGGATCCTCTTAGAGGCTAGAGTTGAGGGGAAGGCCACAGCCCATCCAATGTGTCCAACTGGTGTGGCTATTGCCAGCAGGCACAGTCCCACATGCAGAGCTCCCTCTGAACAGCAGGAGATGGGGAACCTGGGTGGGCAGGCGGGCATGGCAGCAAGGACCCTGGAGAGCCTAGTCCAGTGGCCCCTGGAAAATTAGGCGGACACAGCCATGCTCACCAGTGAGCCAAGCCCCACAAAAGGGGCAGGCTGCATGGAAAGCATGGGTGCCATGTGGCAGTGGTGTCTGGGCCCAATAGCGGGCAGTCTTCTCAGAACAGACATGGCCACAGGGTGCAAAAGCATGGCTGGGTGGCCCAGGGTCCAGGCAGAGACCGGCCTCCTGGCCGAGCCACAGGGGCACATAGGGTCCCACAAGGCGGCAAAGAGGACACTCGCGCTCCTGAGGGCCTCGCTCCCTCCGGCAGCCCCAGCCATGGTAGCCATGGACATGACCGCAACGGACGTAGACCCAGGGCTGTTGCTTGTCAGGTGCTGTGCGGCCACGGGCTGGACTGGGAAAGGCCAAGGTGCTGAGACCCACGGGACACTGGGGCCGCGCTGCGTTGGCCTCCTGTCGCTGGGCCTCCAGTTGTTTCAGCGTGGGTGCCCTCAGCAACCCTGCTGGAGTGCGCCACAGCAGCGTGGCCCCACACAGGTCGATGAGCGAACCATCTTGCAGGATGTTGGACTCGTTTTCCACCTGGCGGAGGCAGCACAAGGCCTTAGCCCAAGAGTTCTCTGACCCTGCCATCAGGCAGCCTCACCCCAGAGAAGCCACCTATCTGGCCAGTGACATTCCCTGGAGAACACCCTAGGCTAGCAGGCCAGCTGAGACAAGGGAGACAGATGCCCCCGAGTACATACAGCGCCTATTCCCACAGGACCTGCGCTTCGGTGTCTTCATAGGTCACATCAGGTCTGGCCCAAAGCAAGGTTTTTCTGAAATGTTTTCCAATATGGCAGAAGTTGGATAGAGTGGGTAGAGCAAATCCCTCCCATGGTGAATACTGTCTACTTAGCCCAAAGCAGCTGTCCTAGGGGTCATGGATCACAGCAAGAATTCTAGAGACAGAGAGCTGGGTCCCAATCCTGGTCTTGCCATTCACTTACTCGGCTCAGAGAATAACTTAACTTCTGTGTCTTGGTTTCCTGGACCTCAAAGTGGATTCGATATCTCAAGTGGGCCTTGTGAAGACTAAATATGCCAACCAGACAAAAACATGGCGCAATGCCTGGTATACAGTGGGCACATAACAAGTGTGCATCCACGTAACATTCACATGTATGTTTTGCTTTGTTGAATTTTATGAGTGCTTTGTCTGCATGTATGTCTATACACCATATGCACGCCTGGTGCCCACAGAGCCCAGAAGAGGGTGTTGGAGCCCCTGGAACTAGAGTTATGGATGGCTGTGAGCTGCCATGGGGATGCTGGGAATCAAACCTGGGTCTTCTGGAAGAACAGCCAGTGCTCTTACTACTGGGCCATCTCTCTAGTCCCTGGTTTGATTTTGAGACAGGTTCTTGCTCTGAGATCAGGCTGGGCTAGAACACATAACCTTCCCATGTGCTGACACCTGGGGAGAATTCTGTGTGGTCCAGTCAAGGAATATAGCCACATTGGCCCTATGTTTCCTATAACTTACTCCCATCTCCCAACAGCACCAGAGGGATACTTCTGGACCACTACTATAAGAACTACTCCAAAGGCCATTTCCTGCTGGGAAAGAACAATAACACTAAACCTCCCTGAATGTGAGAGGCACGGTACAAGCTGCCAGCACTCTGGGCTCTATACTGCTCACACACAGACCAAGTGTCACCCTTGGAAGAGGATGTGATTTTCCTAAGCTGCTGGCAGCCTCCAAGTCATTTGGTTCTACACAGTGCATTTGTGTAGTCCTATTTCATATCACCTGCTGAATCCCCAGCAGTATAAAACTATGCCTAGGGACCTTGCTCTGGTCCTGTCTGCAGGGTAAGTGACAAGTGTCAAGAACACGCTGAGCCTGGAGTTCACCAAATGGAACCTAGTGGGACTCTCTTGGAGAGAAGTACTGTAGATGATCCCCCAGCTGGGAAAGGCAATGAACTGATTATGAGGGCCTGGGAAGGGTGGGCAGAAATGGAGGAGGCCACCTACCAGCTTCCCCCGCTGCTGGGCTGAGCGGCTGTCCCGCAATGTGTACACATTCCCGCAGACAGAAATCTCCCTCCAGACACCCGGGGCAGAGTCCTCGGAGAAGCCACCTGCTGGATGCATCACCAGGACCCCATTGGTTGTCAGGCCATCCATCAGACCATCAGGAGTCCTCCATTTGGCTGCCCGCTCCTAGGACCACATGAAGGATAAGCTCACAACCCCAGGAGCTCCCCAAAGGCTGCACGCCACAGGTGTTATCCCCCGCACTTTCAAGGTCTGGGGTTTCCCAGAGAAGTCCTGGGCATCTACCACCTGACCTCTTTGTATCTCACATTGCTTCTTCAAGAAGTGAGCTGCTAAGCTGTCGGAGAGTTGATGCAGAGGATGGTTATGTACCGGCCTATCACTCCAGGCATCTCTCCAGCCTCCCTCCCCTCAGCTCACTTTGTTGAAGGGTTAGCCCTGCCCGGGGCCTCACTCACTCCAAGAAAAATGTTGCTAGAGGCATCGAAGCCAGCAGCATAGATGCGGGCAGTATAGGGTGGCCGGCGGTCACAGAGGATGCGGCAGGCATAGCGGGAGATGGTACTTTGGGCAGAAGGGCCCTCTGTGGCTCCTCCGCCAGGAGGTGTGTCTGTTACCACGAAGTCAATCATGTTTTCGGTAGAACGGCCAATCTACAAGGAGAGGAAGGCAAGAACACATTCATAGGGAAGTTTCACAAGTTTATCACCCAGTGTCTCAGCAGCCCCCAAACAATGAAGAGGCTCGACCCCAAGCGGGTAGCACACCACAACTCTCTAGACCAGGGGTTCTCAACTTTCCTAATGCTTCAGCCCTTTAATGCAGTTTGTGTTTGGTGACCCCAACCATAAAATTATTTTATTGCTATTTCATAACTGTAATTTTGCTACTATTATAAATCATAATGTAAATATCTGCTATGCAGGATATCTGATATAAAACCCCAATGGGGTCGTGACCCACAGGTTGAGAATGAGACCCTTTGGGCTTGCTCTAGACCCTTTGGGCTTGCATGCAGGTTCTCTACATCTGGGCAGCTGTGGCATGAAGCCAACTTCTGCTCTGTGACCCCATAGCTCTGAGAAACACCCTACTCAGTAAGAACCAGCTCATCTGCTGATAGACCAATTAAAAGGTGACATTCTGGAACAGTAACAGCAAATTAAATTTCAGTAAGAATGTATCTCTAAAGATTTTTGTTGTTGTTGCTGCTGTTAAGCAAGGTCTCACTATGTAGCCTTCACTGGCCTGGAACTTGCTATGTAGATCATTCTGGCCTCAAATTCACCTATTTCTACCTCCCACATTAAAGATAGGATTAAAGTGTAAGCTACCACACCCGCTTATTATTTTGTATATTATGTGTGTCTGAATGACTTTATTGTACCACATGTGTGCAAGGGCCTGTGGAGGCCAGAGGGCATCAATTCCCCTGGAACTGAGTTACAGGCCGCTATGAGCCAGCTGATGTGGGTGCTGGGAACTGAACCTTCCTTTGCAAGAACAATATGTGCTCTTAACCTCTAACTCATCTCTCTAGGCCTAAGCTAAACATTTTCTGTAGAAGACCTCAGTTACTCTGCCCATGGTGTGTGGGGGGAGCTACTATGGGCTTCATTTTACAGAAGAGGAAAACAAGACTCAGATGTTAAATGACTCTTACCCAAAGTCACCCAGTGTAAGTGCACAGGGCTGAACCTAGGCATGATGAGGCTTAATTCTATACTCTGAATTCCAAAGCTGTATAGCCTCCACCCCTAGGAGGGGGCTGCTGCAAAGTCAGCAACCCAGGTTAAGACATCCTACTTTCTCATCTGCAGGGCAACCCACTACAGTGAACCCACTATGTTCAGAAGCACCTTTCCCAGGGCATCTGGGCTCAGGGCCTGACCCTGAACACCTGTAGAGCACAGAGGCTGGGAGACTGGACATACCTGGAACATGTCTGTGTCGCTGTCATGTGTGTACTCCACTATGACTGAATGGCTCCGAGACAGTGTGTACGAGATGCTATGCTGGCCTCGGTTACTCAGGGCCTGGTGGAGAGAAGGCAGTCACTTCCCAGGGTACAGGAGAGGTGCAAATTTCTGAGTCAGAGGCCAGCTCAAGACCCAATAGCCACTCCCAGAAAAGAGCGGCTCCATCCTATGGAGAGGAGACTACATGGAAGGAACTCTTAGCTGGCTCTCTTGTTTAGTCCTCCAGCTATCTCAAAAACGTGCTATTGTTCCATTTTACAGTTGGGAATTGCAGGTCAGAGACAAGAACTGACCCTCAGCCACACAGCTGGAAACAGCAGAGACTTAACTTCCATGCCAACCCTCTAAAGCCAAAGTTTTCTCTTTGGTTTTGCATGTGATGGCTGTTCTTGGTAGTCAACTTGACTGTACCTGGAATTAACTAAAACCCAAAACACTGGGCACACCTGTGAGGGATTTTTGCTTAATTAAATCATTGAAGTGAGAAGACCCACTTCTAATCCAAATATTTGAGGTGGAAAGATAAATATTTAATCAAGATTTTTTTCAGGTAGGAAGAGCCACCTTTAATCCGGGCCACACCTTCTACTGGCAAATTATCTAAAGGACATAGAAGAAGAAAGTTCTTGCTCTTTGCCTGCTTGCTCTCCCTCTCGCTGGCAAATCCATTCCTTCACAGGCATTGGGGCCTACTTCTTCCAGGGTTCCAGATTATACTGAAGAACAGCTGAGACATCCAGCCTCATAGACTGAACAACTACTGGATTCTTGACCCTTCCATTGGTAGACAGCCATTGTTGGACTATCTGGACCACAGCCTGTAAGCTATTTAAATAAATCTCCCATATATTTATTTATAGATAGATAGATAGACAGACAGATAGACAGGTAGATAGGTAGGTAGGTAGGTGGGTGGGTAGGTAGGTAGGTAGAGATTTATTTTATGAGTTCAGTTTTTCTAGAGAACCCTGACTAGTACACTGTGTGAACATTACATCCCACTCATGGAGCCTTGGCTCTCTCTAAAATAATGGAGATAGGTGCTGGAGAGATGGCTCAGTGATTAAGAGCACTTGCTGCTCTTGCAGTGGACCTAGGTTTGACTCCTAGCACCCATATGGCAGCTTACAAGGGCTTGTAACTCCAATCCCAGGATATTCAATACCTTCTTCTGACCTTCACAGGCACAGCGCTCATGGTGCATAGACATTCATGAAGGCAAAAACATCTATACACATAAAAATAAATTTAAAAAATTTTAAATAAGTAAAATTTCCATCCAGTGAATGGGGTATGGCAGTCAAGGAAACATTTTGAAGTCTGTTAAGGACTGGGCACACTGCAGAGGATGTCTAGTATCACTATTTTGGGGTGTGTCTGTGGTGTGCATATGTGTGCACAGGTGTGCCCACAAAAGCCATGGTGTCCTCTATCACTCTGATTCATGTCTCTCACTGAACCTGGAGCTTGTGGTTTTTTAGTTAGGATGATGCTCAGCAAGTCCTAGCAATCCTCCTGTCTTTGCCCTCAACAGTGTTGGGGTTACAGGCACATGTGCTTTTATTACATGAGTGCTGGGGATCCGAACTCCAATCTCCACCCTTGCACAGCAAGCCCTCTTACCCTACTGAGCCATCATCTCTCCAGCCCCATCATTCCCATTTATTTGCTGAGCCAATAGGCAGTGAGTGAGTAATGACACAGTGGACTCCCCTGCTCCAGAAAGGCCATGGGGCAAGTAGGTCTAGGAAGGCTGAAGACCTGGGCCTGGGCACACAGCACAGGATGGCATCCATTCCACTGGGGTAAGCTGCTTGCCTTGGAGACAAGTGGTGTGGAGATGTGGTGCATGACGTCTGGCTTCACTCCATTGGCATGTGGCCGGCGGTTCAGTGCCAGGCGGCTTCGGCGGCGGCCCTTGTCCCCACTTGCCAGACACCCATTGTAGCTGTAGATGGGGGGGGGGGGATTGTGGGAGGAGATAAAGAAGAGAATGAGCCCCAGGAGGCCTGGAGGAAAATGCCAACTCAAAGCAGACCCTACCTGCTTTGAACCACCCAAAGCTAGAACCACCCAAAGCAGGAAGAGCCCAGCATAGTCAATGGCTGCATTGAGGAGCAGGGGATGGGGTCCCTCTTTCAATGAGCCGAGTGTTCCCTGGATGCCTCAGCTGTGACAGCAGGTGCTAGGATTGTAGAGGTGATGCATCACAGTCGTGTGCCCTCAGTGGAGGAGAGGACCCAGCTTCTCAAGGAACCCAGGCACCACCTGCCAAGACTCAGGCACAAGTCAAGTACACTCAAGCCCCAGTGGCAGTAGGTGGGACAATAACCCCAGGGTTGGAATTCGGGAAGAGGAGACACCTACACTGGGCCTTGAAGACCTGGAAAGACTTCTTCTTTTCAAAGGATCATTCCTCACACAACTACCATAAATGACCACGAAGGAAGAAGCAGCTTCCAATGCCACTCCCTCCATTATCTCCACACACGTCTGATTCCCACCTTGCTCTCCAGCCTTCCTCAGGGGGAAGGACCATGAGAAGCAACGGTGAGGTGGTGAGTCATTGCCTTGACTGCCGCCATGGACTGCTGCCTCTGTTCCTGGTCCTTCGTGTTTTTAATTACCTAATGGAATCTGCAAAATGTCCTGCCAGGGAAGTGTCTTTCTTCCTATTTTATAAATTAGACAAGTCAAGGCCTGGGGGTGGGGAGGTGGGGGGGTGGCATTGCTAATCTCCATCATGGTCCTACCCCCCTTCTTAGCCTCAAGCTAAGAAGCCAAAAAAGAAAAAGAAGGAAAGTAAAAAAGCCACATTGTAGTCATACTCCACCTAGACTTGCCCAAGTCCTTCAATTTAGAGGATTCTGAGCCAAGGCCCTAAGACTGGCAGGGTTTGGTGACTCAGTGGTAAAGCATAGTATGGAGATACGAATACCAAGCGGAGAATGCTTTTCTGTAAGTAGTGGGGAGTCATAGAACGCTTTGGAGAAGGAAATAAGCAGCTGCCAAATCCAGGGCTAGGGATGTAGCTCAGTGGTTAGAGTGCTTGATTAGCATGTACAGTGCTCTGGGTTCAATTCCTAGCACCACATAAATGCAGTCTGGTGGCACATGCCTGTAACCTTAGAACTCAGGAAGAATGAAGACCAGGAGCTCAAGGTCATCCATGGCTTCTTAGGGAGATAGATGGGGGCCAGCCTGAGCTATGTGAGACCCTGTCTCAAAAAGAAAAAAAAAAAAAAGGCCAACTACAAGGACCAACTAGAATTTAGCGAGTCTGTTAAAATCTCTATTCTCTAGACCTGTCCCGAGATTCTGCCTCCCCAGGTGTAAGCTTCTTCCCGGTATCTCATATTTCTCTCCTCTCTTCTCCTCCCTCGCTCCCTCCTCCCCTCTTCTTTTTGTTGATTTTGGGGACAAGGTCTCATGTAACCAAGGTTGGCCTCCTACCTCTACCTTCTGAATGCTGGGATTGGAGGTGTGTGCCACTCTCCCTGACTCAATGTGTGACCTGCACGTGTTCTCCAGCAGCTCTGAACCGCAGCTTGAGTGAGGCTTCCCTGCTCTGCTTAGGACAGAGGGCTGTCAACAAGGCCCCTCCTCTGTCTCCGCAGTCTCCTCCATCCCTAGCCCTGCACCCAGACAGAAAAATAGCCCTTCCTTCCGTCAGGACACAAAGCAGCTGCTCTTCAGAGAGAAGCACCCCTGTGAGGAACACATCTTTTACCTTTCTGAACACTTCTCCTGTATGGGCAGAGGCAGGTCTACAGGGGGACAGGTCAGGATGCAGGCTAAGAACGCACAGGAACACATCCTGGCTCTTCCACTCCTCACATAGCCTCTATAAAATGGAGCTCATTTGTCAGGCCCCTACTTAAGGTTGATTTTGAGAACTAAACAAGATAAAGCACTATAAAACGCTTGACAGAGTTTGACATGGTTATAGCAAGCTCTTTTTTTTTTTTTTTTTTTTTTTTTTTTGGTTTTTCGAGACAGGGTTTCTCTGTGTAGCTTTGCGCCTTTCCTGGAACTCACTTGGTAGCCCAGGCTGGCCCCGAACTCACATAGATCTGCCTGGCTCTGCCTCCCGAGTGCTGGGATTAAAGGCATGCGCCACCACCGCCCGGCAAGCTCTTTTTTTGAAGTTATTTATTTTTATTTTATGTACATTGGTGTTTTGCCTGCATGCAAGTCTGTGTGAGGGTGTTGGATCCCCTGAAACTGGAGCTACAGACAGTTGTGAACTGCCATGTGGGTGCTGGGAATTGAACCCCAGTTTTCTGGAAGAGCAGCCAATGCTCCTAACTGCTGAGCCATCTTTCCAGCCCCCTATAGCAAGATATGAGTTAGCAATTATTGTTATCTGAAAAGAGGCAAAGTGACACATACAAGTCACTGTTCTGCATTGCTAATCTCCATCATGGTCCTACAGCCTATCAGTAGTGTCTTCAGAACAGAGTCAAGGCCAAAAGGAGACAGAGGGGAAGAGAGAGGGATTTGTGTCTGGGGTAGTTTCATGGGAAGTGCAGGTATCCAGGCAGCTGAAGACCAGAAAGGACTGGGCCTGTCCAGACATCAGGGCCCATAAATTCTTCTCTCATAGCCTCCACTTTCTCATCTGTAGCACAAGAGTGAGCTGCAGCTTAGTGATAGTATGCTAGATCTACAGTTAGGAAGACCTGGGTTCAAATCCCAGCCCTGCCACTTACCAGCTGTGTGCCCTTGGGCCAGTCACTTCCCCTCTCTGAGCCTCGGTATCCTCACCTCCTTCCTCACAGCATCTTTGTGAAGATTGAAATGAAATAATGTCCATGAAAAGGCTTGGCATCGCCTGCCTCCCAGACACTTGGTATGTGCTGGGTACCGGTCTATGTACTTTACAAAAGTTCCTTCCTTCAGATAACCTTTGGGGCTGTGACTCAGTATCAACCCTGTCTTCAAAATGGAGAAACAGAGGCACAGGGAAGTTCAGCAACTTGAAGAAGCAGGATTGGGGCCAAGGAGTTTTGTGCAGAACCAGAATTCTTTCCCACACACCTACACATAGTAGGTATGTTACAGACCCTTTCTCATCTGATTAGAAACTCTGGCAAGCAGTTAAGAATTGTCTCAGGAATTTTATGAGAAGCAGAAAGATTATATAATTATGAACGGAGATGGATTTTGTCAATGTTGTCTTTCATTTGGGAAGCTGACAAGAAACAGAGCAGAGTCCTGGGGAGGGCAGCTGGTGGCCACTGTTGTTTTGGCTGACCCAAGGAGGGGGTTACCCAAGACCCATCACTCCTGGGCTAGGGGAGGCTCACCCCAGGACGATGAGTTCACCATACTTGATGGGTTCCTCGCCTGGCAGTGCTTCTTCACCAGGAGAAGAGAGGATGCACGAGCCCTTGCTCCCTGGGTGCTGGAGGTCCGAGGTTCGAGGGGATCCCACGTCAGGGTTTCCTTCCAGCACCATTCTGAGCAGAGTGGGAGAAGAGAAAAAACTCTGCAGCATCCCGCGGCAGCTGCTTTCAAGCTCGGGCTAGCTCAAGGCCCCCTAGGCCGAGGCAAGAGGGGCCGGCCCCTTCGACACTTGTTACTATAACTACTCTGCTTCCCCTAAACGGCGAGGTTGCTGGGATACCAAGGAGGGAGATTGGTGAGAGAAGGCCAAGAAAGAAGTGGCAAAGTCAGAGGGTCGGGGTATTTGATGGGGCCAGCGGGATACACCAACTTTGGATGGACTACGCTTGGCTGAGGGGCAGCCAAGACTTAAGGGACCTTACCTCTCAGACTTAGTTCCTGGCTTAAGTTCTTAACCTCCAAGACCTCAGTTACCCCCTCTGTCAGGTTCTTGGATCTATGTGTTCCCGCTAATCTTTCTGCCTCTTTGCAGGGCTAGGCCTCCGTCCGTCAGTCCGTTCTCAATGACTCTCTGTCCTCCCAGCACTGTCCTTCTCTGCCTTTTCTCTTGCCACACTCTATTCCCCCTTCTCCTACCAACCTGCCTTCCTCTATTCGCTTGCCTTTCTCTTGTTATCCACCCTACTCAGTCTCCTCATCTTGGCCTGGCAGTGCAGGCAGGCCTCCAGATCCCTCCCGGGTGCGCGCCCCCCCCCCCCCCTCCCTCCCTCCCTCCCTCCCTCCCTCAGGTGCCTGTCTGCGGTCCTCAGACCGCTCCGGTCTCAGGAGGCCTGTCGGGGCGGTGCTCCCTAATCAGGCTTCCCCCGCAGCAGAGCGGGTTCCCCGCAGGCTATTTAACAACCCCAACGCTGGAGGGTCTGCGCCGCTGCAGGCCCGCACCCCGCGCTCGGGACGGGCACAATGACGGCCCAGCGCATACGCAGATACACAACCCGGCGGCCCCTTGCAAACACGCGCGCGCGCGCGCGCAGACAGTCCCGCACACCTCTAGCACCACGGGCAGTGCCCAGACGGGCGCAGCACACCCCGACCTGCTACCGCAGGGACGCGCCCACGCGCTAACAGCCAAAGGCGCTAGCCCTGAGACCCGCTCCCCTAACCTCGCCACCACCAGAAACGCAAACACGCCCCCCACGCACTCTTGGCGCAGCCCCCCTTCCCCTGCCCCTCCACCTCTCCAGCCTCACCTGGCGGCGCTCGGGGGCTCTCTGTGCGCTGCTCGCTCCCACCCGCCTCACCCTTGCTGCACCCCGGGACTGCTGCGGCGGGATGGGCTCGGCCCGCGGCTGCTCGGTGCAGCCTCGTCACGGGGACACTCGGGGCCTGGAGGAGGGAGGGTTGAGCACACAAACCTCCACGCTCCACCCCTTGCCCCGCCCCTCCTGCCACGCCCCCTGAAGGGCCCCGCCCAACCCGAGGCTCCTCCTCCTGCGGCTTAGCCTAACTGTAGTCAGCGACGCCAATAGCTTTTCGGGAGCCCGCACCCCTTTCTGAGGCCCGCCCCTGGAACCAATGAAGTTCCTCCCGCCTTTCCCTCTGAGGGACTCCCTATCCGCTCCTGGCTGGTTGAGGGACTCTACTTGGTCTACAAGACCCCTCCCCTATTCCAGGCTCCTAATACTTCACCCTCCTTCCAGGGTCTCCGGGAAGCCTCCTTCTCACAGTAAACTAGAGGCTCTTTTCCCCAACCTTAGACCAGGGACTCCCCACCTCCTACTCCAAGACCCCGCCTCCCATTTGGGGAAACCACGGAATTAGAGAGAAGCCAGGGTCGAGCTGAGAAAAGCAAACAAGTAGAGGAGGCGGAGAAGGGTGCGTCACCCGCACAAGCTGAGGAAAGGCACTGCGGTTGTCTTGAGTGCGGATCTGTCTTCCAGTTCTGCTCGATCTTTTTCTCTGTAACCTTCGGCGGGCTCTGGCCTCCTTGGTGTCCAGGGACACGTGCCCGCCCCTCCCACCAGCACGCACCTATCCTTTGTAAAACCTCAAGGAAAGCCGACTTTGGGTGCTCAGTTCCTCTGGACCACAGGCTTACAGAAAAATCTCTTCTGTCTGTGCCTGGCTCTCTGCGTTGAATTTGAGAAAATTAAGTCCTTTAATCCTTGAGAGACAGGTACAAAAATTGCCTCCCCTCTACACCCCCAAGAATGGAAGAGATTTACAGAAATAGCTTGCAGAAGAGGAACCCAGAGGGGATCTGGCCTAGGGCTTTATACAGCCTAAAAAGTATTTTCACACTAACCAACACCTCAGGCTCTTGAGTTCCTGACATTATCTCTATTGTCTGTTTAGTTTTAGAATTTTTAAAAACTGTTTTATTTTTATGTATATGAGTGTTTTGCCTCCACGTATGTGTGTACACCACCATATGTCTGGTGCCAACAGAGGCCAGAAGCTTAGATCCCCTGGGACTGGAGTTACAAAGGGTTGTGAGCCACCATGTCGGTACTGAGAATCGAACTTGGATCCTCTGAACCACTGAGCCATCTCTCTCTAGTCCCCTTGTTTTTTTTTTTTTTTTTTGAGACAGGGTCTCACTATAGCCCCAGCTGGCCTGGAGCTCACCATGTACATCAGGCTGGCCTCTAGGTCACAGAGATCTGCTTTCCTTTGCCTCCCAAGAGCTGGGATTAAAAGCAAGGGCCCCCAAACCTAATGAACTCCTGACTTTCTAGGTTGCCATAACCTAGAAGGATAGTTCATGGAAGGGTAGAAGCTCAGATGCGGCCTCTACTGATTAGTATCTCTTGGTCTGGAACAATATCCCAGTGGCCAGTTAACCCCCAAGTTTGTGCATTTGTTTTGAGACAGGGTTCTATGCAGTTCCGTCTAACCTTGAACTCGAAGCTGAGAATGACCTTCTGATTCTCCTGTCTCCACTCTCCAAGTACTGGGATTACGGGTCTATGGCACCACACCTAGTGTATTCAGTGTTTGGGATCAAACGCAGTGTTTCATAGGTGCTAGGCAAGTGCCCTGCCAACTGAGCTACACCGCTGTCCCAGCCCCTGAGTTTGAAGTGTTTTATGAGGAAATCAAAGACCTATGCACAGAAGAGATGGCCTGTGTCTTCTGTCACAAAGAATGAGTAGGAGGGGCTGGAGAGATGGCTCAGAGGTTAAGAGCACTGGCTGCTCTTCCAGAGGTCCTGAGTTCAATTCCCTGCAACCATATGGTGGCTCACAACCATCTATAATGTGATCTGGTGCCCTCTTCTGGCATGCAGGCAGAACACTGTATACATAATAAATAAATAAACCTTTTAAAAAAAACCGTATACATGATAAACAAGTAAATCTTAAAAAAAAAAAAAGGAGTGAGAGTTTGCCCACTCATTCCTAAAAGGGAACAAATGCGATCTCCCTCCTAATTTTCCAGACCCCCTAAGCCCGCCACATCCACTCCATTAACTCCATGCCTAAAAACAGGTGAAAATACCAACTGCTTTGCCAACTCCTCCAAGGCCCAGCAGCCAAAGAAATACACTCATTGGCCATACAGGAACCTCCTGGAGGTCCTCCCACCCCAGAAGACCACACAAATCCCTCACTGGAGGATGGTTTCCATTCTAAAGGCCTATAGTATGGAGGCACTCTGATTCTTTAATTCCAACACTGTCTGCCAGAGAGGCCCTCATGACCTCACTTTTCATGTGAGGAAATGGAGGCCCAGAGAGGGAGGGAAGCGTGCTCCAGATTTCACAAGTTTGAGCCAACCACTGGAACCCCCATTTTTACCACCCCACCCCAGGCTGCAGTAGAGGACTTAGAGGTTGACAGACTCAAAAGGGACTGCTCTCTTCTGGGTTATGGTTCTGGGTTCTGATACTAGCACAGTCCAGGTATGGGAGCGTAAGGGCTTGGACATCGACAACTTTATTCCAGCATTCAAGAGGTTTTCTGTAAGTTTGGGGCCATCTGCAAGTGGATGTCTGTAAGTTTGGGGTCATCCTGGTCTATATAGCCAAGGTTACAAGTGAGATGCTGTCTCAAGGCAAAACAGGGGTCTGGAAAGATGGCTTCGTGGTTCAGTTCCCAGCACTTACAGCAGGCAGCTTACATCTGCCTGTATCTCCAGCTCCAGAAGATCTGACACCCTCTTCTGGCCTCTGCACTTGCGTGCACATTCATACACATAGCCACATAAATTAAAATAAGTCTTTTTTAAAAGTAAAGAAAATCACAACAAATAAAAGGTTACCACAGCAAACTCCTGGCTGGGCGTTTGGGAGCTACTAGGCTCTGTTAAAAGCCTATGCTGGAGGCCAGAGGGTGGACTTGAAAAAGACAGGCCCCTCAGATCTGGGGATACAGAGCAGAGGAAGCTGGCCCTATGTCTCATATGATCACTCCATCGGGAATCCCTAGGGGCAGGGTGGCAGCAGTGTATGTACTTTGTGCTGTGGCTACTACAGCGAATCCGTGGACTCTTCAAGGTATTAGTGACATGGGAAAGCCTTGGAATTTATATGCTTTAGAAGGACAAGAGAGGCTAGTAGGCCCATAAGGGCACTTATGATTAGATTTGACAATCAGAAGAACAAAATGCAAGTATCTCTGTAGACTCTAACATGGATGGCAGTGCGGCTCCTGGGACACTGGTCTCTGGGCCTCTGGCTCACCCCAGTGACTCTAGGAAAATGTCCTGAGGTTGGCGAGGTCATCACATGTACAAGAGAAGTGAGGAGAAATGGGGAGGATGGACGACTCAAGACTGAGTTGATGGGCTGGAGAGATGGCTCACGATTAAGAACACTTATTGTGCTGGGCGGCAGTGGCACACGCCTTTAATCCCAGCCCTCGGAAGGCAGAGCCAAGTGGATCTCTGTGAATTCGAGGCCAGCCTGGGCTACAGAGCGAGATCCAGGACAGGCACCAAAACTACATGGAGAAACCTTGTCTCGAAAAACCCCAAAAAGAAGGAGGAGGAGGAGGAGGAGGAGGAGGAGGAGGAGGAGGAGGAGGAGGAGAAGAAGAAGAAGAAGAAGAAGAAGAAGAAGAAGAAGAAGAAGAAGAAGAAGAAGGCAATGACTTGTTCTTGCAGAGGACCCAGGTTCAGCCCCCATATGGTGGCTCACAACCATCTGTAACTCCAGTTCCAGGGGATCCAACGCCCTCTTCTGACCTTCCCAGGCACCAGACGTGTTTGTGGTGCATAGATATATATGCAGGCAAAACACTCATACACATAAAAACAAATAAACCAAAAGAAAGAGAGAAGACCCAGTTGAAATCTGAAATGACCGGGAAAAGCCAAAATGTGCTGAGCTGTGCTGCTTCCCAGGAGGTGTGGAGGGGATGAAGTGTTTCATCTGTTTCATCGCGGAGCGGCTTGTGCAGACTGCAGCACTCAAAGCAAACCCAGCTTGCCACCTGTTTCTGTAGATAATACTTAAAGAAATAAGCTATTTTATTATTCTTAATTATGTGTATGTATATGTGTGGATATGTGCACATGAGTGCAGGCGCCTCAGAGGCCAAAGGAATTGAATCCCCTGGAGCTGGAGTTACAGGTGGTTATGATCTGCCTGATGTAGGTGCTGGGAACTGAACTATGGTCCTCTGGAAGAAAGGTAAGTGCTCTTAACTGCTGAACCATCTCTCTGGTCCCCATAGATAATGCTTTTGTTGGCATGCCGCCATGTCCCTTTATCTGTTGTATGTGGCTGTTGTCACAGCTA